GGGGGGCCGGCCCCCCCCCCCCCCCCCCCCCCCAAATTCTAACAAAATTTTAAATGACGAAAACAGAAAATTATATTTCAATTTTAAGTCTAGGGGAGTGCCGTTTCTGGCCAGCAAAGGTGCCACCCAGGGCCCCCCTCCCCTTTTATTTAAAATTCCTGGATCTGCCACTGGTCTTAATTGAAACTGAATGATTAGTCAATCGAGTGTTTAAATTATTTGAATATATGCTATTAAATTTCAATTCAAAATGCCAATGAAGGTATTACATTGATTTAAATTTCAATGGAATGACTTATTGTTAAATTTTGAAAGTTATATTACCAAGAGAGTTAACTTGAACTTCCTCAGCTTCTGTGCTTAATTTGTCGGCGTTGAGGGTGCAAGACCTAGTCCCATCCAACTGTTGTTGCTTAATAGTCCTACCATTTGTATTTAAGATTTGAGAATTCTACATAATTATTAGATTATTTTTACTTGTCATTATATTCCACAGTTCGATAATGTACTACAGATGAAGAGTGTCCTGCAACAAACAATTGGAGCGCTGGCAGTTGCTGAGGCAACCTTACAGTTCGAACATAGAGATCTACACTGGGGGAACATTCTTGTGAACAAACATGAAGGCAGAGAGGATCAGCAAATTGTCCTTGGCAACGAGATGGTAGAGGTAGATGGGTGTGGTCTTCATGTATCGATAATAGACTTTACACTATCACGGTTACATAAAGGTAAATATATATCGTTTATCTACACCATTGGTTTTACAATACGATTTATTAACCATTCAAAATACACAAAAACGGATGGATGAGGTACAAATAAAAGCAAATTGCTTGTAAAAAATTGCACCACCTTTACATTAAAAATTTAAGCATATTCAAGAACACACCCACACAATACAGAAACAAACAAGCATGAAATCAAACAGTTGAGAAAAAATGTATAAAAGTAAATTACTGAAAGGAAGCAACGGAGGTATTGAATTATGTTTAAAGTGAACTAATATATGCATATACTTTTATTATATGCATATTAAGATAGACATTTAAGAATCCTTTTAAACTGCGCCAATGTATGAGCACATTTGGCATTGTTAGGCAGATCATTCCATACTTTTGGGCCTGAAGACAACATACATTTAACCATTTTAACTGGAATTAAGAAATCATCTTTGTTTCTGGTATTATAGTTATGGTTTTCACGGTGGGTAGTAAAAAAAAATGTTTAAGTGGTGGCAATGCAATGCAAAGAGGTGGTTCCCAACCCAATCTCAGACCCTCAGGACATGTGAAAAGCCTTCACAGACCGCCATGTCTAAGTCTCATTGCCCGTTTTTCAACAATAAGATTATAGATAGAAAATGAATGCCATGGAAGTACAATGTTAATCAGTGGCGGATCCTGGTATTCGAAATGGAACCACCTCAACCCCACCTTCTTTTGGGACTGAGGTACGAAACTTTTATGTCCATGGCACTTTTAGATGGCTGAAAATTTCATTGTCATTTATCTTTGAATTTCATATCCATACATTTGGTGCATGGTATTGAGTATTTTTATTCTGTTGTAGATGGCTGCACTTTGTTTTATGATCTTTCAATGGATGAAAGTCTCTTCCAGGGTGAAGGTGATTATCAGTTTGATATGTACAGGCTTATGCGCACTCAAAATAAGTGAGTATGCTTTTAAACACTGCTCTCTCCATTGATTAGCATTATTTTTTTCCTTTTCATCTAACTTTGAGTGACTCCATGTTCAGTATAGATATACAGTATATGGTTTATCAGTTGAGTCACATTATAACTACTGTAGGCTTAGAGAGTGTTGGCTATAGTCAAGTGAATAAATCATAGAATTTTCAGGATTTGAACACATGACCATTAAAATGGGAGACAAACATGTGACCACCAATCACATTCTTGCATTACAATACTGGCTTGGGTAATAGCCCAATCCCCACCCCCACTTCTTTACCAATCCTTTGACTGTAAATGTCCACATGCTCTTGTAATCCTTTCAGTGAGAGGCTGAATTCATCTTTCTATGTCTGTTGGAAATGCCAACATCCTGTGTATGCATCCTGTAATTGGCAGCAAGATGCAGAAACCTGGCCATTGCTAGTTACTGAGTACAACAATCCCACGCCATCAGACACTGCAAATTGAGCTCATTTTTTTCTGTCGTTTGGCAATTTTACATTCCCTAAAAAAATTTGATGTTGATATTTTTTTCACAGAAACGAATGGGATTCCTTCAATGCATACACTAATGTATTATGGACGCATTACTTAACGAGGAAACTACTAGAGCAGAAGAAAATAAAAAAGAGCCGGAAGAAAGTTCATCAACAGACCTTTCGGCAATTAAAAGCATTTGAGCGAGAAGTGCTCAACTTTAAATCAGCGCAGGAAATTATCAAATTGAGTAAACTTTTTACGACCTGATTTGCTGAATAAACATTCAATCTTGTGTACAAGTACACGTAGATACTACAAGTATAAAAATGACCAAATTGAGTAACTATTTACAATCTGATTTCCTGAATGAACAATCAGACATGTTTGTAACTGCAGCAGGTGGTGTAAAAGGGACATGCTTTGTCAAAATAGAATGTTACCATTAGTGCATCAGTGAAATGGAACACTATAGAAAAAAGTAGATGGTACATTACAATCAGTAAACTGCATTAAGATTGGTCTCTGGTCATAAATGTCAAATTGCTAATCTTTGGTAATTGAAATGAGTTTTGACATTGATCAGGTGTTTTTTCCGTTCTGCTTGAATACTTGGTATGCCATTACTTTATTGCTACATAGCTCTCCTAATTACAGTGGTTATCATGTTCGTTGCCATCCAGACTCCTTAAGGTTGTGGGTCCGAATGTTATGCTGTTCATCTCTCTTGTCCTTTGGCAAGGCATGACGTTTCTCACCATCAATGAAAATAAATGGATATCATATCAAGTAGTTTTGAATTCATTGATTACTAGTTGCTACCATTACAAAATACTCCCCCCCCCCCCATATGAGTTGAGTATTTGTTACAAAGGCAGTAACCCAGTTCTCTTAAAAACGCACGTTTTCGCGTATGTTTTTACACTTTCGTTTTGTGGACCTTAGCAAGAATATCCAATGGTTGGGGCTTGGCAGGAAGGTCTATTGTGAAGCGAATACAGACTAATACATTATTTATTTTTTGTTATATTTTTTACCTCATCAAGCCATTTTTATTGTATCCTATCAATTGTGTATTGCAGGAAGGCTGTGGAAATATGTAAAATAAAAATCATTGAAAAAAGTATATAATGACCGGTAACAAAATATATCTTAATCTGTAAGTACGATAGATATATGAGTTATATTTTAGTATTGTTTTTAGTGTACATAAAATTGAAGGACAATAAATTATACTAGAAACTGCATTTACAGAACTGCATTATCACGTTGTAATGTTTTCCTCACGTTTCTCAGTTCGTCAGGTTATAGCGCCACCTAGCGTCTGAATTTAAACATAGCCGTCGAAAGCATTTTGCAAGTGATCCGGCCATTTAAAGAGCGGGATAGGGGAGAGTCCATACCCACCTCAACCCTACCATGGTTGGAGCTGAGGTGCGAAATAGTACCTCTCATGGCCGGAAATGTCACTTTTATATAGTAACATTCGTCATCATCACATCACCATTATAGTACAAATGAAGGGCCAACAAATTTCTCATGATATTTTATCATCGAATTTCCGCAACCATAGAGATTAACATGCGTGATATATCATAGAAAATAAAACTTAAAAACATTGTCTTTTTTATGTATTTACTTCACTTACTTCAAAGCAGTGAGTCCACACCCACCTCAGCCCTATCATGGTTAAGGAATACACCTCAAGATGGCCGAAATGACACTGTTGTATAGTAAAATTCATCATCATCACATCACCATGATCCTTTAAGCCTATCTGCAATTTTCGGCAATTAGAGATCCAATTAACTTCTGTATTGTACCATAGAATATAAAACTTAATTGTCTTTGATGTCTTTAATTTACCTAGTTCGTGTGCCGAAAACAAATCTTATACTTTTTCTCATACTTTTCAAATTATAATAACGGCCACTCGAGTCGTGTATTACCGATAATTCAGATGTTAGTGGGCAGAGATACCGGAATCTTGCTATAAGATCAGATGTACAGTACTCTACTGTATATTGGCTGTACAGCAATCTTTCGTTAAAACCTGAGTCTATGCAGTTCAATTCAACAACTTTCAGGCATCTTCTTTACGTATGAAATTACGCTGCTGTTGAAAAGTGAGTGTTACGAAAACCCCCTTAAAAATATGTGGGGGACGTGTCTCCCGTTTCCCCATGATCTACGCCCATGTTAGTAACCAGTAGAGCCACTACCCGGTCCCCTCAAGGGGCGGATACTGGACCATGGTTGAAAAAATTGCTCCTCTGCCGGGAAATAGCACAGACATACCTTACAAAAATGAATGTCCCTCACTTTAAAAGGGTGATAAATGTTGATTGCAAGTAATTAGGGCCGGCTTAAACATTAATACCAATGTGTCACATAACAGCCAAATGCTTATTCCATCGGAGTCGATTCTTATCCTACATCATCATCATCGCCATCATCATCATAATCAATATCCGTCATCATCATCATCATCATAACCTCCAACACCATCATCATCGCCATCAATATCATCATAACCATCACCACCACCATCACTATTATTATTATTATTATTATGTTTATTATTATTATTATTATTATTATTATTATTATTATTATTATTATTATTATTATGTTTAATATTATTATTATCATCATCATTATTATTATTATTATTATTATTATTATTATTATTATTATTATCATCATCATCATCATCATCATCACTCTCATCATCTTCATTAGAAAAAGAATAATGATTTTTTTTATACCACTCCAGGTGGCGTTCTACATGTAAACATGACTCAATGGACTACGAGACTTTACAATTAATAACAAATGTGAGTACAGTATTGAACATTTTGCATCGTTAATTCAATAGTTAGATGGGAATTTTGTCGTCATTACGGTTATTTTTTGACTAAGTTTGTTAGCCAGCTGCATTGAAGGCATGAACATTTTCCACCACAGAAGCGTGCACTGACATGGCTGCACAACACATTCCAAGTGACTCGCTAAAACCATCAAAGAAACTGGCTAAAGAAACGTTATTTACAGTAATTACAGCTTGGGGCTTGTTAACTTTCGTTCGTTATTTACATTGTAGATTTGTATCTGTTTTTTCATTGACATTATATGCAATTATTACCAAGAGTCTATAATTATCTGGTGCACAACTTTTCACCTTGAATAATCAAAATTTGTTATAGCCCGACAAGTTGTATATTATTTTTAAAGGAGAGTGAAAGTAATCGAGGTAGGCCCAAATGACAATAGGCCTACTGATATTAATATCTTCATGGATGTGTACTTCCATGATGTCCATATCAAATAAAGCTACTACTGTAGTGACGGATCCAGAAATTCGAAATATAGGGGATCCAGGTCCAGGGTAGACTTTCACATACTGATTTATGATTATGTCACTTCCATGATCCATGCTATAGATGGCCGGAAACGACTTTAACATATGAATACAATTTTCATTTTTTCTTCCATTTTTGAATTAATTTTTGAATAAATTAGTCAGGGGCCAGTTGCACACTTCCCCTTTTCAAATATACAGAGCAGTTGAGCATTTTATTTAGGCCTATAATAATAATAATAATAATTATTATTATTATTATTATTATTATTATTATTATTATAGGCCTAATGATAGTAAAAATAGGCTTAATAATAATAAGAGGCCTAATAATAATAATAATGTACATAAAAAAATGATATAAGCAAAGGCTAGTAAATTTAAGAATTTAATAATTGATAATAAAATCCTTGTATGCGTGAATGTGTGTATGTATGTGTGTTTGCGTGGGTGTGTGTGTATG